GGTGCCAGCCACAAATGTGATAATTTCTTCTTACCCGCAGCCTCACACAAAGAGGTAATTTGTTCCATGCCCCCAGCAACAGGTGAATGGCACAAAACATGAGCAATGTGTGCAGAGAGAAAAAGGCGCATTATATGGATGAAATGGGTGACAGAGAAATGATCCATGTGCACAATTACTAAATTTGCATTAATCATTTTGGGATGGATGCTCTCATTGTATGAGTCTTGGGAAATTTGGCAGAGTAATGCTGTTGCCTAGAGGATAAAAATAGCTTTATTCCTGCCGTCATAAGCCTGAGCACTGGGGGATTCAATTCCCTTGCCAACTTTTTGAAGTTGAAACTCTAGCCCAAGGCACCAGAGTGTCACCTAAAACCCTCCACTTCTTAATCAAATTCCCAGTTTTTCTTTCTCCAATACTTGGGTTTTATTTGCTCTCAAACAATAGTATCAAATAAGCTTGGCTTTCTCTTGGCAATTATATGCCATTCCTATACTGGTGTGAGACAAATTAAAGATATCCCACAGGTAAAGAAGGTGAAATACAGCTATTAGTATATTTAATAAAAAAAAAAAAAGAAGATTTTAGGTTTCTTACAAACCATTCATTCTAGTTCATAAACTGGCAGGAAGAAATGGTCACTCACTTGAGTGTCACTGAAACCAGTGGTTAAGCTACGGGTGAACATGAAAGAAAATCTATGGCATGAAGGTTGTACAAAGAAAACTATATATCTCCAGCTGTGCTACAACGGCAGATAAACCTTGAAAGGCTTGGAAGAAAACAAATTAAACCTAACAGATGGTGAATCAGGGAGCCAATCAGTATTCATATATTCACATGAATGGAGGTTATATGGTTAACTTTTTTGTTCTATTGATTATACCTACCTCCTATATCTTCATTTACCTGGGGAGCAGTTCCTTCCATGCCCACAAACTCAGACTGTCACTCTTGAACAGCTTCTTCTCCATCATTCCCATGAACTTGAAAAGCCTCCTCATGCCTCATCATGACTACCCCCACACCTACCCCTTTAAAATTTTTCTAGTCTCTACCTCCTCTATCTGCCTGTAACATCTTGGTGCATGATCACTGCTGTAAATCCTTTCCCTGGATCCTGTTATTGTTCCCGAGGCAAGCCCCTTAAGCAGGTATTTTAAACTAATCTTTCTGTTCCTGAGGCCACCCTCACTTGCAAAATGGACTTTGGTTTTCCTGTGTTCTGTCTGCAGATGATATCTGGATGTGGAGTATACCTACAACATCTGTTATAAATTCCTACTCCAGTGTATTCTGTCTATATCATTCCCATCTTTCAAAGCCGTTGGTTTTTTTTTTTCTCCACAAAACCAGCCTAGACAAGCAACACGCCCTGATGGCAAGAGATAAGAGTGGGGAAATGCTAATATTTCACAGGAGACCTTGGACGGCTAGCCATCTGTGGTAGGTAGAATAATGATGCCAAGTCGACCTACTTGTCAAAGCTGACGTCCACAGATAAGCCCCGCTGAGATCAGCAGAGCAGCCTACCCGACCAGAGGACACAGACGACACAGCCCAGTCAAAATCAGAAGAACCACCTATCTAAGCCTTACCTAAATTGACAAAGTATAAAATCATGATCTAACTAAATGCTTATTGTTTCAAGTCACTCAATATTGGGGTAACTTATTGTACACCAATAGCTAAACCACACTTGGTACCTCCACCATCTAACTTCACAGAAAGAGTTTGCAGTCCCAGGTACTTGCGTGCCTAGGTTCTTGCATGCGTGGACTGGGTCACAAGCAAGCTCTGTGACTTCTGCCAAGTCATTCAGTTCTGAAGCATTCCACGTGTAAAATCAGAAGCTGCTATCTTGCAGTATACAATACCACATTTAGCTTTCTGACTCTATCAAGGATAAAGAGAAAGATTTTAAAATATCCCTTCCGTGAAAAAGAAGCGAACAGAGAATATGACTGGTTATGTGCTCCCCAGATTACCACTTCTTATTTGACAGGGAGAGTGAACTGCAGCAACTCTGAAAGCCACGCTAAGCCCCGAGTTTAATATTTACGTTTATTTCACATCTCCTCTTAGTCATATACCAACCACCACAGCAGACGAAACTGAAGGAGACAGTTCAGTAACAATAAAAATAAACAGTAAACAATATAAAGAAGGGAGTGTTCAAATTATCAAGCATTAAGCCCCTATTACGAGACCCTTATCAATAAATAACACATTGTTCTCTATTTCTATACAACTTAGTAAATTTACTTTTATATTGAAAGCAAAATTCAGAGAGCAGCTCTACGCTTTTTGAAGCAGAGCTCATCACCGCAGCAAAATGGAGTATTTCCTTTATTGTAAGAATTGTGTGGGGGGCGTCATCAATTTACTCCCTGTCAGTTCGAAACCTACTCTTCTTGCCTCTGTGGTGTTGAAGTGGGACTCGATGACTTTTCCGGGCCGGCGCGTGCAACGTCAGGCTTTGCCAATAGAGGGTGCTGGAGGGACCCTGCAAGACCAGAACAGAAGCAACCGCCAGTCTCTCCAGATTGAGGAGGCTCTTGTAAGCAGAACAAGTTAGGGGTCCCCAGGAAAAGAAAGACGAGACCTAGCTTTCATGACACACAAGAAGACATTTTAAGCCCCCCAGCTATTTCTGTGATCCATGCCCCACTGGCCCTACGGGCCCTGGCACACAACTTGCAGAATTTCCTACGAGGTGCTGGAATTACAAAGGAATGCAAAAACCTCAGTACTAAGGATTTTCAGGAAACAAACGGAATGCAAAAACCCAGCAGGCCAGGAGATAGCCTAACTCTACCAGACACAGTAAATCAGGGGTAAAACTCCCAGTGCTTTTTCAAAAGGAAAGATGGACCTAACACACATTCTGTGGCTGTTTTTTGCAGGATTCAAATCCCAGTGAACACTCAAACACAAAGCTAACTGGAGCCAGAAAACTGACGATCCTGACGCTTGCTGGTCTTTGGGACTTCAATCAAGTAGGACGCAGACTTTGTCTATTAAAGATGACTTTTGCCCCCATTCTATACTGAACTCTCCTTTGCCAAGCCCTTCCATGAAGAGGCATTCACCCTCAGCTTAAAAACTCCCCAGTTTTGTTGTTTGGAAGGTCACAGCTTTGGAATTATTCCCCATGATTTCCTTATTTGCTTCTAATAAAGATCATTTTGTGTGACAACTCCACCTGGTGTAGTCTCTCCCTCTACCTCACCAAGGAGCAAACTCACGTTCGTTGAGTTATGCTCACTCTTATGTGGCAGCTCCCAGGAGATGGACATATAGGTGGCCCAGTGGCAGTCATCCTCTGGAAGATTCCTCAGCCACAGTGGACTGCTTCTAGGGGCCGGCTCCATCCTCCAACACTGCAGCAAGCTTCTCTGCCCCCAGCTGGCTGCTTTGTGTGGAGGAACTCCAGCTCTCAGCATTCGTATTAACTATGGAACATTATAAACAACAAGTGCTATTGTGTCATTTTCAATAGCACTCAACTATTACCACATGGAAAAGCCGTCATATCAAAAATGCATAAAAATTAACATTTCATGTATTATTTCTAAAGTTTCAGAAATAAGATTTCCTGCTTTTCAAAGTGGAAAGTGTAACTATGCTATTAAGAATAAGCAAATTAAGAGTTATATTCAGGCTTTTTTTTCCTGAGGAATGTAAGTTCACTGATTATAGTCAAAACAAAGTCAGTAGTCTTATTCTTCAGTATGTAAAATATCAGCCATGGTATTAGAAAGGAATCAGTGTAAATAATATCTCTAGTGTCAACACATATACAGTCTTACAAATATTGCAAAATTTTGCTTAAGAGGAATAAATTATCTTTAGAAACTTATTATGAACATGGGCTGGAAGAAGTTAATCATTATGTGGCATATAGTTTGTCCTAGGTCAGGTTGCCCAGAAGCAGTTTAAGAAGAAGATTCTTTTGCTAATGATATATTAAGGAAATAATCCCAGGAGAGATCACTAAGGAAAGTGTGGGGAGAGAGGATACAAGACAGAGAAAGAAAGGGAAGAAGTTAATGAGGGGTACATTTGCAGACAATATCCCAGAAGAGTACCTTCAACCTGCTACTGCAGAACTCTGGAGTATTGCATTTAAGAATTGTCCCATGGGCGCCTGGGTGGCTCAGTTGGTTAGGCGACTGCCTTCAGCTCGGGTCGTGGTTCTGGAGTCCCGGGATCGAGTCCCACATCGGGCTCCCTGCTCAGCAGGGAGTCTGCTTCTCCCTCTGACCCTCTTCCCTCTCGTGCTCTCTATCTCTCGTTCTCTCTCTCTCAAATAATAAAAAAAAAAAAAGAATTGTCCCAGCCTGAGGCAAGGGCAGTGGGCGGTCATACTCTACCAAAATCAGTCATTGGCTAAGGGCCTACTGGAAGACAGTCCCCTTTCCCCTGCCAGGCATTTCAGGCTCCCTGGGGTTAAAGGTGGACCGAAGGGCATCTGAGCATCTGAGTGAAACAAAAGCGTTTGCTGCCTAACAAAAGACAATAATCTTTCTGACCTTAGTATTTTTATTTCAGATGATTCTAAGAACTCTCCTGAACAAGTTATAATAGAAAAAAGACCTAGAATCGAAGAATTTATCAAAAGATCATGCATGGTGTCAAAATAGTGATGACCAGGGACAGGTTTAGCAATCCCATGGTACTCTACAAGTCAAGATCCCTGTCTTACAAAATAAATAACAATGTTCTAAGGAAATACAGGGAATCATATAAAACTCAAAGATTACATTCTGTTTAAGCACAGTCACTGGAGACTGAGAGCCTCTTTTCTTAACAATGTCACCATATGTATTTATTTGAGACTCCGGGCTGAATCCAAATATTTAGGTATGCTTTCCAATTTGGGTTCAAAATATTTCTCTTTGGTTCTATGCAGCCTGAATCTGAATCATATCCATCCTCTGATGACTTATAAATACTGATTAAAAAGTAAAGGATAGACTCGCGTGTGAGGCGAGCGGAGCCGGAGTCGAGACCAGAGGCCGAACTCGGGATCTGACAAGATGGCCGGGCTACCCCGCAGGATTATCAAGGAAACCCAGCGTTTGCTGGCAGAACCAGTTCCTGGCATTAAAGCAGAACCAGATGAGAGCAACGCCCGTTATTTTCATGTGGTCACTGCTGGCCCCCAGGACTCCCCCTTTGAGGGAGGAACTTTTAAGCTTGAACTATTCCTACCAGAAGAATACCCGAAGGCAGCCCCTAAAGTACGTTTCATGACCAAAATTTATCATCCTAATGTAGACAAGTTGGGAAGAATATGTTTAGATATTTTGAAAGATAAGTGGTCCCCAACACTGCAGATCCGCACAGTTCTGCTATCGTTCCAGGCTTTGTTAAGTGCTCCCAATCCAGATGATCCATTAGCAAATGATGTAGCGGAGCAGTGGAAGACCAATGAAGCCCAAGCCATAGAAACAGCTAGAGCATGGACTAGGCTATATGCCATGAATAATATTTAAAATCGATCTGATCATCAAGTTCTCCTGTTCTCCTGTTCTGCCAAGACTTCTTCCTTTTTTGTTTGCATTTAATGGACACAGTCTTAGAAACATTACAGAATAAAAGCCCAGACACCTTCAGTCCTTTGGTGATTAAATGCACATGAGCAAACCTATGTCTTGTCCTGATTCACTGTTGTAAAGCATGAGCAGAGGCTAGAAGTACCATCCAGATTGTTGTGAAACGTTTAAAAGCAGTGGCCCTTCTCTGCTTTTATTCATTTCCCCATCATGGTTTGAGTATAAAGCACTGTGAATGAAGGTAGTTGTCAGGGTTAGCTGCAGGGGTGTGGGTGTTTTTCTTTATTACTTTTTTTGAGGGGGAGAGGTAGTTTTATTTTAATTTTATGGGCTCCTTTCCCCCTTTTTATGGTGATCTAATTGCATTGGTTCAAAGCAGCTAACCAGCTCTTTAGAATATGCTCTCTAGCCAGGTCTAACTTTATTTAGACGCTGTAGATGGACAAGCTTGATTGTTTGAACCAAAATGGGAACATTAAACAAACATCACAGCCCTCACTAATAACATTGTGACTTGCTGTTAAGTGTAGAATCCTTCCTTCAAGAAAAAGCTTGTGACCATTTTGTATGCCTTGTCTGGAAACTTCTGTAAATCTTATGTTTTAGTAAAATATTTTTTGTTATTCTAAAAAAAAAAAAAAGTAAAGGATAAACTGCTGAGCCAGAGAACACAAACAATGCAGAGAAACAGGGGTTTTTAAAGGCTGCAACTAAAAAAAGAAAAAAAAATTGGCAAATGATAAAATTATTATCTAAAAATCTGAATTCCAATCTCATGAGGAAAATATAAGGAAGGACAAGCAAGGTGGCCTCAGCATAGCTTAACTGACTAGGCAGGGATGTTTAAGGATTACAGAGCACCAGTGTCTGTATTTATGTCAGGTAATGAAACATCACTCATATATAGAAAGTGTATATACCTAAAAATAAATCTCACTTTATAATGACATTCTAAGAACGTAAGATACACAAGGAATGCCAGCAATGATGTATTAGAATATCAAACTGTTTTGTTTCTGGCAGATTTTACCCTACTTATGGAAAGTATGGGTCAATCTTTGGCAAAGAATGAAACATACAAATCAGATTCCACTCCTTTTCAAAAGAATTAAGAATATAGCAAGATTAATCAGATAAGCGAGAATAATCATGAAAACACTTTCTCAAGTTCACAAATTTAAAATTAAAGAAACATCAATGTCCTAGGAAAAAGGAAGGGAGGTTGGAGTAAGAAAAGGTAAGAACAGCAAAAAGAAATCTTAGTTATAGTAAAATTAGACATCCATTCTTCCCCACCTCACACACACCCTCTCTCACTCTCTCTTTCTCTTTCTCCTTCTCCCTCTCCCTTTCCTAATGAGGAATGAATCACATACTCTAAACTTTAGCATACAGTTCAATGATTGACTTTTTACACACATACACACGTATAGATATTTTACGGCACCCAAACTCCCGGTTAAATCCCCCAGAGTAGCAATTATTCTAATCCTTATCACAATACATAAATTTTGTCTACTTTTCAACTACTTGTAAGTAGATTCATACAGTATGTATTTTTTAATCTGGCTTTATTATAACTCATTATATATTTGAGATCATTTATGTTGTTGTATTATATAAGCTTTATTTATGGTAATGGAATGAATCTAAAACTAGGCTACACAGTTGGATTTCTGTTTCTTCATTTTGTTTCTTTTCAATTCCTCACTTGACTGTGTCCAGCAAAGGTGCAAATTTCCGTTTTAACCTCAATATACAGCAAACTTTCTGTAATGAGCTGGGCTACCTACAGTTCAAAGAGAAACTTAACAAGCATCTAAGAAATTCTTATAGAACTTTAAAATTTAAATTCTCAAAATGTATTATTTTTAAAGTATTTAAAAATAGAGCATTTTGAGTGACTTTGGAATAAAATTTTAATAACTATTCTATTTAAATGTATATGTACTGTTCAAGAGGAACATTATATATTAATACATTTTACTCTTATGTCCACCCTTTTGAAAATCTAGGTAACTATTAAATACAAAAACACAACATACAAATACATGCACTTTACTAAATATAGGAACAAAAGTAATCCCCTCAGATAAAAGGCTGATATGATCCAACAAAACAGAATATCAATATATAATAAAGATGATTATGCTGGTAATGATGATGGTCTGATGATTATTAAAACAGTGATGATATTAATAAAAATATCTAAATCTATTGAAAGCTAAACATACACCAGTATTTTACATGTTGCATCACTTATATCTCCTAAAAACCTTACAGGTTATGTGTGATTATTACATCTTCTTTTGTGAAAGAAAATTCAGGCACAAAGAGTTCAAGCAAGATGTTCAAAGTCACACAGTTAATTTTGGAACCAGAATTTGAACTAAGGGAGAATGACTTCATGCCCATACTCTTAACTATGGGCTGTATTACCTATATATACCATGTTACATTACCACTAATTCTGTTGCTAACTTGTTATCTGTTATCTTTAGCCAAAAAATAAATAAATAACAACACTAGCCAAAGGCATCTCCTATTTGATGACTTCTCATAGGAAAGCGAACAACAACTAAAGATCACTTAACACATACAAGCATGTGCATACGTACATGTGCGTGTGTATGTGAGGTGTTATAACAATAACCTGACCCTCATCTACTGGGTTTATAAAATCAAACATTGAACTCTACTTAGGGATTTAACAGCCTATCCTTCATCTTTTCTAAGCTTGGGGAAAAAAATTTTTTTTCTGTTTCCCTTCCAGGGGTGAGAGGTGGCCTTTTTACTAATCTCCAAGAGTGCTTATGAATTAATTCAAACCTAGCAAAACCTTTCACTTGAAAGAATAGAGGTGGTTATGTTATGGGACCTCTATTAAAGAAACAGAGGCTTTGAAGGTACTGCCCTGTCTCTACATGTTATTTATTCTTAGGAAGAGAACATCAAAACTGTTCCAATTCTTTTCAGAAAAAGTGCTTCTTTTATGTGTTTTATTTTGAGAACCAATCTGCCCAAATAACTTTAATCTTCTAAATCATTCTTAAAAACTTCTTAAAATGTAAATTCTAAAATACTTTCTTTGGCAAAAAGGGGGAGGGGTTGCACGTTGGTGGGCTATCAAAGGAACCTCCAAATAGGGCAACCAGGGAGACAAATAAGAAATATTGCATAATTCAGACTTTATTGACCTAAATTTTGTAACTCATCAGTTTATAAACTTTCATTGAAAAATAAATGTGGGGGCATCTCAGGGGCTCAGTTGGTTGAGTGTCCAACTCTTGGTTTCAGCTCAGATCAGGATCTCAGGGTTGTGAGATGGAGCCCTGTATCAGGCTCCTTGCTCCGCAGGGAGGCAGCTTGAGATTCTGTCTCTCCCTCTCCCTCTGCCCCCCCCCACTCGCACCTTCTCTCTCTCTCTCAAATAAACACATCTTTAAAAATTATTTAAAAAATAAATGTGTATAAAGAATTGAAATAAGATTTTTAAAAAAATACAGTTAACTGAAATTCATACTTAGGAAAATTTCCCAGATTCTAGGGCAGTTCTCTTTCAGTGGGAATTATTTATTTTATTCCCATGTCTGAATGACACAAAAATCTCTACATGCCTAGTTTTAAACTGTGAGAAAAACATGAATACTTCTGTTTGATGCTAACCATAACAAAAGGTAACTACTTTCCATTTTCAACATCAGATGTTTCCTTCTAGTTATGTCAAGTGTTTTGAGCAGTAAATCTGTACTCCTTCTGAAACTGAAAAGTACCACCATCTCCTGGGTATTCACAAAAATTGCATAAATGATTACAGTGTTAGTTGTAACTCCCTGTACAGTCAATACAAACTTGGTGATTCTTCTGCTGGGAATACTCATCCCAGCAAGCAAAGAGGCAAAATTCAAACTCTTTATTGAGACTTTTCCAACTTTTTCAGCCAGCCCTAAAGTATAATGAAATGATTCTACAAGTTTCAACTAAACAAACACTTCTAAGCAAATCAGAGTATAAAAGGATCATTTTTAATCCTAAGACATTTTCAGGTCATGTAAAAATTGTTTGTCAAATATAATTGTTCTCTGTCCCTTTTTAAACAGCATGATGTTTGGCTTTGAAATGTATTTGACTATAGTAAAATGACAGTACACAGCAATTTATATGTAGATTCTAAAATGGTGAGTACAAAGTCAGAACCTCAAAGAGAGCCTGCAAAATGTAATTTTAAACTGGAACAGAAGGAATCCTTGGTTTCTGCAATCTACTTACAGAGATTACTAGTAGAAATATAGTATATTATATTGTGAATATTCCAATAACTACTCCTAAAAATTGGCTAATATCTTTAAGCTTCCTTTCCCTACCTGGGAAGAAATCATTGCTTTTCAGGTATAAATTGTTTACAGAAAAACAATACTCTTTTCTTTTGCATTTAAAATCTTATAAATCACTTACATATGTATTTAAATGTTAAACTAACTAGTTTTTCAAAAGTTCACATTATGCTACTTGGTTTTTAAGAAAGACCTACATTACTACCTATTTTCACTAACCAAAAGAAATCCAAAGAGGATTTCACTTTTACCAAAAAATGCAAAAAACAAAAGCAGAATTTAGTGTTTGTCTTGCAGCAATTCCTTATAGAGGCAGCATATACCCAGCAGGAAAAGTGGGCCCACCAAGCTCCTTCCCTGGGAAATACCCTCAGCATCTCAGCATCAAGCCACCATGGCTTTCAACCGTGTCTGTGAGCATCTGTGCTTTATCTCAAATTGTTTTGTACCTCCATTAGCAAAATGTATCCTAAGATATCAGAAAAGTCTAAGAGAGGTTATTTTGGGGGACTGGGAATGCTCAAAAAAATGTCCATAAAAATTAATGCTCTTTGTTTCTTTGCTTTATGCTATTTTGACTTACAAAAGGTTTTACAGCAACACCACCTTCAGAGAGAGAGGCATCCTATAGATAAACATATAAAATATATCATGTATATAATACA